TTTAAAATTTACATTCATTGTTTTCTATTCAGAATGGGGGGGGGTAATATCGACTTATGCAATAATATTTTGGGGTAATGGTTAAAAAAGTTCCCCGACCGCTGCTCTATTAATTTAGAATGCTTGTAATAATTATTTTTTATATAAAATAGTGTTGTGTCCAACCGTTATTATTACAATTATTATTGTTAATATAATGTATTAACGAATAAGAGACATCCAGGGCGTCTCTTAGTCGCCTTATTATATAAACATATAGATCAGCATAAAGGGAACCTCCACCGTGAGACCAATTCTAACATTCCTTCCTATTTTCAACTAAGAAAGTAGATGCAGAATATGCAGTTTCATCGAGACCAACTACTGATAAGAACATTGCTCATATTTTCAACTGGGAATCAGACGCAGAATCCGTACAGGAGCAGTGACCTGAAGCGGAGCGTCTTATCAAAACCATGTCCTACTCCTGAAACTCCCACCCCTTTGCTTAGTTAATTTTATACTTAGAATAAGTATTTGTAATTAGTCTTAGGAAGAACGTTAAAGAATTAAGTCGTATCGAATATTTTAATAATAAACAACAAGTAAAACTCGTTCAATTTATTATTTACCAAACCTAAGGCTCTACAACAGACAATAGAAGAAGATGTCCAGTGTCCAGAAATCCTTTCCTGGGACACGACACGACTTATTATGTTATTTGTATTATGTTTGTTGCAATTAACATTATTATTGAAACTTTACATTTAGACAAAGTAAATACAAGAAGTCCTCACTTTACGACCTATTTGCACTTTCGACCAATCGAGTTTCACTTGCAATATGAATAAATTCGAATATTTTTTTAAATTTAATTTTTATATTTTTTTAAATTTTACAACGATCATATATTCCCGGCGCAAGTTCCACGCTTATCGACCAATTCGCTTAAAGACGTAAAGTGAGGAGTACCCAACGATAAACAAGTAGTAAGATTGCAAACGAATGTAAAGAAGTGGAGACTAAGAATTTAACTAATTACTTAAGCCTACTTTGACTTCTAATAATTATTTTCATAAACACAAGAGTTTTTTTGTTATTTATTTAATAATAATTAATAATAAGACTAATAATTGTTAAAAAAAAACAGATACAAAAATAGTTTACCAGTTTAAATAATTCTGTATAAAAACTGCTAACAAAATTTCAAACTATATTTACTTTTATATTAACCAATACTTTGTTGTAGAAATACCTACATAGTATATAGATTAAAAATGTAATTTATTTTGTAAGTTATTAAAAATATATAATTTTACGAGATTGTGATGTGATTTGTCTACATGAAATGATTAATTTTATGTTACGTAAATATTATCTAATTAACATATACACTTATTAAAAAGTTCTTGAGAGAAAAAAAACACATGTTCTTAACAAAGTTTTATATGTTTAAACTTTGATAAATTTCATAACTATGAATGAATCACAAAACTCTCAGAGCTAAAGAACAGTAAACAACACAAAATGAACCAATTACGAAAAAGGGACAAAGACGTTTCTATAATCCAATAATATTATAGCTTTAATATCATGAATATATTGGAAAATGAAAACTAATATCACACAATACGAGACTTGACTGTATAAAGAGAGAAAAACGATCGTTTATCTGTAACAAAATAATCGTATTATGTACTTATTTTTTTCGAAATCAAAATTTGATTTTGCTCAATTGAAATGTAGTTTATTTTGAGATGTTCAAACCGCACTATAGAGAATCCGGAGTTTTCAAAACTACGCAATGATACTTCGCATTATTCCTTTATTTATATTTTAGAATTTGTACATTCTGAAGTCTAGAGTATTTGCTAGCATCCTTTTAAATTAGTTTAAAACTTTTTTTAATTTAACTGTTTCATTAATTTAAAAAAAAATCTTTTCATCTTTGTCACATAATAAGTATATTGAATTACGAAAAGTTATGAACTTAGTAAACTTTTTGGAAGACATTTATCATTGCTAAACAAATATGAACATTTATACGATACAATAAGTAAAAAATAATTTATTTTCTGAATGTTTTTAGAACTCGAATAAACGATTTAATTATTTTGTTTCTTAAGAAACTATTTGCACGTGCAATAAATAGTTAATATTACTCTATAAAATGAAAATGTATTTTACATTAACGGTTAATATGTGCTTAATCGTCAGGAAATATAATAGATTCGATCCATGGGGCGTAATGGGAAACTCTGGTGTAAAGTCCAGGTTCGTTAGTGTGGCTGCACGGTTTAGGAATTACTGTTATTCCTTCAAGAAAATTTGTGTAGTCGTAATTCAGGTCAGTACTTTGTAAAGGTGCTCCAACGGACGCCTACAAAAAAAACAAAAAAAATTAAAAGATTGTTACAATCGAGGATTGAATTGAATCCACCTGGCATGTGTTATGGTAGTTAGAGCCGCTAGCACAGATCTGTGTATCCAGGTCTAATCCAAACGGTACGAGATTAGCAAACTTATCATGCTCAAAGTAAAGATCGCACGCGCGGTTGTTAAGACCGAACACCTGTATATGTACTACGCTAGTTTCATTGTATCCAATTTCTCCAAACGGATATGCGAGACCACCATCGGAAATGCAAAGAGGTAGCACGAAATACGTGAATCTAACAGTGTCATTTAATTCGATCAGCGCGATGTCGTTGTATACAAAAGGATATTTATATTTAGGATGAACGATGTGTCTCAGCACTCCATATTCCTGATGTTCAATTCCATCATTATCATTCTCCAAATACGTATCACCTAATCGAATGATATTTATGCTTTGACTACAAACAAGGAGAAAGTATTCAATACTGATTACATATCAATTTAAGCAACTTAATTTTTAATTACTTTACGCATTTTGCTGCAGTTAACACGAATTTGTTACTAATCAAACTCCCTGCGCACACCCACTTCGTCGAGGATTCATTGCGTTGACCCAAAGCTGCCTAAAATGTATACAAATTGAAACTTAATTCACTCTATTTATTCTCATAATCTTACAATACTTTGAGTGTTTATTGGAATAGAGTCTGTAGACCCGTATTCTTTGTTTCCGTACTCATCTCTTGTAAGTCTTTTGTGTATCGTATCGCAATCTTTCAATACAATAAATGAAATAAAATGCTGTTATTTTTCAAATTACTTTATATATTTACATTTTCTGCTTTTGGTTTGTTTGTATTTTGGATCGCAGCACACCCTGTCCACCAATCCGTCGTGCCCGCATGCTTTGTATTTATCAGGATACGAATCGTCCTTGCAATACCAAATGTTTTCGCAGAACTTCGTTGCATTCTCGCATTTGACGTCTGAAAATCGATTATCACTTTGGTCTTCACTTACAAGAACTCACCTGAACCTTTTGTTTCTATATACGCGTTTGATGCAATTGTCAAGAAAAACACGATAACTTGATGGTAATTAAACATATTTAAGTATACTTTATTCCGTTTTTTTGTTGAGCACTTGTTCACCAATATGTATACTTTACTACAATGTCGACCTTCGCGTATTCCAACTTATTTAAGCGGTGAAGCGGTTCTAGCAAGTGGGGGGAACGGTTATTCAATAACAAATAAATTATTTAATTTATTCCAGCGGATTGAACACTAATAATCACCTACTAAGAAATTTAGTTAAATTACATTTTGATGTTTTCACAGAGTATAAATATCTTATTATAATTTAACATAGAATTTAAATTGTCATAGTTATAACTCAAACTATAATGATATCAATGTTATTATATAAATAATGAATTGATAAACTTATCAAATTGAAGTAGAGGATTTAGCTTTATGCAATAATTGTTATATGATTATTTTTTCTAATTTAAAAATGCATGTGAGATTATTTTGAATATATATATTGTACATTTAGACAAAGTTAATATTACATAAGTAATCAAAAAATGTTTTTTTTTTATATTAACAAGACCAAATTGATTATTTTATAAAATGAAAAAACGTTAATATGTTCTTAAACATCAGGAAATATAATCGATTCGATCCATGGGGCGTAGTGGGAAACTTTGGTGTAAAGTCCGGGTTCGTTGGTGTTGCTGCACGGCTTACGAATTACTGTTATTCCTATCAGAAAACTTGTGTAGTAGTAATTCAGATCAACACTTTGCAAAGGTGCTCCAAAGGACGGCTGCAAATAAATAAACGATTAAAAGTTTGTTATTAGGTCATTAAGAATGAAATGTCCAATTACCTCAAGTACCAATTGTGATAGCTGATATATCTTTTAATATATTTTAAGATCTTTTTAAATTTTTATTGTAAATGTACTTTATTAGACGCACGTTTTGTTTGTGATTATCTATCGAGTTGTCTTTCGCAGATTAAATTTTGTAAAGTTTCTTTGAAATAGAATATTTACCAGAAAAAGTTAATAGTGTCTGTTTAGTGGTTTAGCACTGGTGTTTTCCACTTCATCTTCATTAGATTAAATTATGATAGATGTCTACTTTAATCAGATAGAGGAAATGATAAGAGAACTTGGGATTAAACAGCCGAGATTGCTGAATAAAGACAGGTCATACCTCTTACATGACAATGCTTGACCTCATATCGCATTAATAACGTTGGTCAAACTCTACTCCACTATCACCATTCTATCTGATGACATTAACAAGTTACCTTTAAATGGAAAAACTTTATTGATAGTTTGTGCTAAAACTTTGATTGATTATAGTTCTTTTTGTTTGAGATATAATAAACCAAAGGTACAGTTCGAAATTGGACGTTTCATACTCAATGACCTAATACAATCGAGGATTGAGTTTAATTACCTGACATCTTGAATGGTCCAAGTGGGAGCTACCACAAATCTGTGTATCTGGGTCAAATCCAAACGGTACGAGATTGGCAAATTTATCCTGCTCAAAGTAGAGATCGCACGCACGTTTATTAACTCTAATCACCTGTATATACTCTACGCTAGATCCATTGTATCCAACTTCCCCCAACAATGGTTCTCTTAGCATCGCATCATCGTAAACGCAGATAGGTTTAACGTGATTCGTGAATCTAACAGTATCATTCAATTCGATGAGCGCGATGTCGTTGTATACAAAAGGATATTTATATTTAGGATGAACAATGTGTCTCAGCACTCCATATTCCTGAGTTTCAATTCCATCATTATCATCCTCCAAATACGTATCACCTAATCGAATGATATTTATGCTTTGACTACACACAAGAAGAAAGTATTCAATATTGATTACATATAAGCAATTTATCATTTAATTACTTTACGCATTTTGCTGCAGTTACCACGAATTTGTTACTAATTAAACTCCCTGTGCACACCCACTTCGTCGAGGAATCGTTGCGTTGACCCAAAGCTGCCTAAAATGTATAAAAATTGAAACTTAATTAACACAATATATTTTCATAATCTTACAATAGCTTGGTAGTTTCTAGGAAATGGTATTGTGGAATCGTAAACCGTGTTTCCGTACACATCTATTACACGCCTCTTGTATAGCGTATCGCAATCTTTTAATATAATAAGTGAAATAAAATGCTATTATTTTTTAAATTACTTTATATTTACATTTTCTGCTTTTGGTTTGTTTGTATTTTGGATCGCAGCACACCCTGTCCACCATTCCGTCGTGTCCACATGCTTTGTATTTATCAGGATACGAATCGTCCTTGCAATACCAAATGTTTTCGCAGAGCTTATTTGGATCCTCGCATTTAATGTCTTAAAATCAAAATGTAACTTTGGTATTCATTTATAAGAACTCACCTTAACCTTTTGTTTCTATATAGACGCTCGATGCAATTGTCAACATAAACACGATTACTTGATGGTAATAAGACATCTTGAAGTTTACGTTATTCCGTTTTTTATTGAGCACTTTTCATCAAAATGTATATTCATTTAATAATATTGTAAGATATAGACTATAAACTTAACCTTCGCGTATTCCAACTCATTTATGAAAAGAAAATGGATGAATGCTTTACATCACAATGAGAAATGAAGTAACTTCACGTGTATACTGAGAAAAACATTCGTGCTATATATATAGTTGATATAAGTGGGGAGTATTGCTGGGGGTAAATAAAGAATATAAACTTCTTATTGTTCTTATTATAATTTGCATACAATTTATTTTTTTTATAGTTTTAACTCAAACTATAATCTTTTCAATGTTATTAAATTACTGAATTATTTAGTAATTTAAAAATACTCAATTAGATTCATAAGAGTTTCAGATTGATAAACTTTTCAAATTATAAAATTGAAGAACAGGATTTAGCTGAAAAATTAATATTTTACACAATAATTGTTATATGTTTATTGCTGCTAACTTAAAATGTGAGATTATTGGAAATATATAAATATTATTGTTCATTTCTCATTGAAATATACCGGTTTTCTGCATGACTCATTAGTTTTTTTTAGTAAGTAAATATCAGTCTACGGATCGAAAAATAAAATGAAAAGGTTAATATTTTGTTAATGACCTGGAAATATAATTGATTCGATCCATGGGGCATAATGGGAAACTCTGGTGTAAATTCCGGGTTCGTTAGTCTGGCTGCACGGTTTGGGAATCGCAGTTATTCCAATAAGAAATATTCCGTCGACATAATTTCTATCGAAATTTTGCAATGGTCCTCCGACGGACATCTAAAGAAGTAGACGATTAAAAATTTGCTATAATTATGAATTGCGTTACGTTACCTGACAATATTAATAAGAGATTCAGATTGATAAACTTTTCAAATTATAAAATTGAAGAACAGGATTTAGCTTAAAATTAATATTTTACACAATAATTGTTATATGTTTATTGCTGCTAACTTAAAATGTGAGATTATTGGAAATATATAAATAGTATTGTTCTTTTCTCATTGAAATTTACAGGTTTTCTGCATGACTCATTAGTTTTTTTAGTAAGTAAATATCAGTCTACGGATCGAAAAATCAATTATTTATAAAATGAAAAAGTTAATATTTTGTTAATGACCTGGAAATATAATTGATTCGATCCATGGGGCATAATGGGAAACTCTGGTGTAAATTCCGGGTTCGTTGGTGTGGCTGCACGGTTTGGGAATCGCAGTTATTCCAATAAGAAATATTCCGTCGACATAATTTATATCGAAATTTTGCAATGGTCCTCCAACGGACATCTAAAGAAATAGACGATTATTTTTTTATAATTATGAATTGCGTTACGTTACCTGACAATATTGATGGGAACTAACTGAGCTAGCGCAGAGCTGAGTATCTGGGTCCAAACCAAATGGCACGAGATTCGCAAATTTATCGTTATCAAAGTAAAGGTTGCAAGCGCGTCTATTAAGCTGCCTCAGTGGAATTACCGTTAACGTGTTTATGTCTTTGAATCCAACTTCCCGCCAAAAGGGTTCTCTGGTTCTCACGCCTTCGTTAATGCAAGCTGGTTTCACAAACTTGGTGAATGTAACGGTATCATTCAATTCAATTATTGCGATGTCGTTGTACACAAAAGGAGCTTTATATTTAGGATGAACGAAGGTCTTCAGCACACCGAATTCCTGAGGAACCAATCCATCGTTATCATTATTCAAATCCAAATCACCTAAGCGAACTATATTTATGTTCTTACTACAACAAAAAAGTTGTTGCATCATTTTTTATAAGTCAACTTGTTATATCATTACCTTAAACATGCAGCTGCAGTTATCACGAATTTATTATTAACCAAACTCCCAGCGCAAAACCAATGCGTCCTGGATTCATTGCGATAACCCAAAGCAGCCTAAAAATGATAATTTAAACCATTTACCCAATCCATTTCAATAATACTTTACAGTATTCGAGTTATCTTCTAGTATATTAAAATGATATGGAACTATAGAGGAGTAATCCCGATTCCCGTATTCATCTATTACAATCTTCTTTTGCATCGTATCGCAATCTTTAAATATAATATAAGTAACAAAAAATGAGTTATGTATTCAATTAGTTTATATTTACATTTTCTGCTTTTGGTTGGTGGGTATTCGGGATCGCAGCACACCCTGTCTACCAAACCGTCGTGACCGCATGCTTTGTATTTATCCGGATACGAATTCTTTTTGCAATACCAAATGTTTTCGCAGAACTTCGTTGAATCCTCGCATTTGACATCTAAAAATCTCTATTGACAGATCGCTCTTCATTTGGATAACTCACCGCAACCTTTTGTTTCCATGTGCACCTGTGATGTAATTGTCAGCAACAACAAGGTAACTTGATATAAATGGGACATGTTTAAGCTTACGTTGATCTGTTTTAATTATTCATATAAATGTTATTTACTTGTATACCATAAATTAAACATTTTTATTAACTTTTTACTTACTTTTCTTGCACTATAAAAATCGGTTATGATGAGAAGAAAATAAGCAGCAATTGCATAATATTATAGATAACTAACTATTTGTGTTAGTGGATTACTGGTCATTATTAGATCGACCTTCGTGTATTCCAGCTCTATTCTATGAAGAAAATGTAAGATTGAGTTAAAGCAAAATAAGAATGAAGTGAATTCACGTTTACGCTGAAAACATCCGTACTATTTATAGGCGAGTGGGGGAAATGCAACTCAATAATATAACATACACATCAAATCCTTTTAAATTTGAATTGAATATTAATAATCAATATTTTTATGTATTTTACAGAATATACTTTTACTATTGTTCTCTTAGTATTTTCTATCGAATGAGAAATAGTATGATTAATAATATAAGAAACAAGATATAAGTAAAATATTTAAATTCGTCAAACAAAATAAATTTGCTTATTAAAAGGATTCGATAAAATTAGACTATATTAGGTGATTGAATAAATTATCATAATTATTTCAATAAGTATATTTGTGTGGAAATATTTATTTTGAGATGAAATAAGTTGTTTTTAATTGGAATGAAATATGAAGAAAATGTTGAGTTGTTTATCGTTGATCAAAATATAAATGTGCAGCGAAACTACGCACTTGGAAATGCTTGGGGAATACCCAGAGTGCAGTTGCCTTTTGGGATTTACACGAAAACGAGTTTACATTCATATACTGTGTGTGTGTCACATACAATACGAAATTATTTGTTTCTAAGAGTTGTTGTTTGATTAACCAAATAATTCAATTTTTGTTCAATTAAACGTATTAGAAATAAATGTATTTTTAGTATATTTTACAGTTGTTTTATTTGGATATTTTAACAAAAATGTTTTATGTATAAAATAAATGTTATGATTAAATAATGTTGATAGCATTTGAATGGAACACCCTGTATATCATCACTAAAATGAGAACTGGAATGCTGTTTGCTAGGCAACCAGAAACAAAACAATAAAACATATCATATCTGCAGTTACATGCTCTCTCATCTTGACCTCCGAGAGGTTTTAGTAATTAATTATATGTCTGGACATACAATTTATAGGAATATAAAACAAGATAGACTAAATAAAACAACTACTAACGCTAATAAATTATCATTAAAAAGATATTTTTATTTAAAAAACAACACTATATTTATGGAAGATGTTCCCTATTTATTTACGAAAAATGCATGATATATGAAGTGATATGAAGATGGAAGACGGAGGAAAGAAGAAGTATTTATGATTCTGGAAATACGATCGACTCGATCCACGGAGCGTAATTGGAAACTCTGGTGTAAAGTCCGGGTTTGTTCGTAGTGGTGGAGCAAGGTTTCGGAATTGTTACCACGCCAATAATGAAATTGGCGTCAATGTAGTTTAAATCTCTGTGACTCAAAGGACCTCCAATATCCGTCTGAACAATGTAAAAAATGTTAGAATCCATTAGGAAGATGTTTTGCTGTAAATTACCTGACAATCTCCTCTCGCATACACCGAGCTACCGCAAAGCTGCGTGTCATCATCAAGACCAAAAGGAATTTGATTTGCAAATCTATCAGAATTGAAGTAAAGATGGCATGCGCGTTTCGCCAACTCAATCAAACCAATCGACGTTAAGACATCCTTGCTTCCAGGATCCTTGTAACCTGATTCCTGCCACAGTTTATCCCTCAACTCTGACTCGTCGAAGATGCAACCTGGTTTCACGAATTTCGTGATTCTCACCATACTATTCAACTCGATGAGACCTATATCGTTGTAAACTGCCGGTGCTATGTACTTGGGATGTTTGATCTCTTTTATAACTCCGTACTCTTGTGGATCAACCTCATCGTCATCCCTATTCAAATCCAAATCTCCAAGTCGAACAATATTCACATTTCCACTACAAAAACCAGCTAATAAAAACGATTTAATTATAAGTTTTTTTAGATTTACTTTAGGCATTTGGCAGCTGTCAAAATGTATTTATTGCTGATCAAACTACCGGCGCACAGCCAATCCGTCTTCGATCCATTGCGATGTCCCAAAGCCGCCTGCAACAAATTGCTGTATTTACAAAATAACAATAATTACGTAAAATTTTAGACTTACAACGTAAGGAAAACTCTCTGTTAATATGTCGGGACTTGGTTTGATGGAATCATAATCTCTGTTCCCATATTCATCGATTTCTATTTTCTTGTAAAGCGCATCACATTCTGAAACCAAACAATTCAAGCATTTCACATTTTACCTATAGTTAGATAATCTACGTTTTCTGCTTTTCGTTTGATTGTAAATTGGATCACAGCACACTCGATCCACTAATCCGTCGTTACCGCAAGTTTTGTATTTCTCCGGATACGAATCCTCTTTGCAATACCAAATGTTTTCGCACCATTTTCCAGGATCATCGCATTTACTATCTAATAACAAATAATATAGTTAACATTATTAATACGAGATTAAGATTATTTTAATACTACCTTTTGTTTGCGCGTATCCTTGCGAAGAGATCGCGATTAATAACACGATGGAATAGACGTATTGGGACATCCTTCACCTTCGATTTCACGATAGTCTCTGAGTGCACCTCCACTTTCTTAAGCACTTATATCCTCCAGTACAAACTTCTTCACCGTATTAATATTTTAAATAAGTAAATATATTAAAATGTAAAATTATTCAACTTACTGCGGTATTTCAGGGCCTTGAAACAAATTTCAAAAAATTCTAATTGCAAAGTAATTACACTAAATAAGTTAACTTGCTTAACGAATATTTAAGTCAGATTAGGCTACTTTTTTATTTAATTTATTCTATTATGTTTCACATATAGATTTTCAAGTAGATTATAATGATTATGAGATGCCTGTTGTAGTAAATATTCAATAATTATAAAGTTATAATTCATTGAAAGATTTGTGGATCATCTAATTGGGAAACACGATGGATTCTATCCATGGAGCATATTCGTTTACTCTAGTATAAATTCCAGGATCTGTCCCATTGTTGCAAGGTTTTGGAAACGAAATAACTCCAATAATAAATTTGCCATTGACGTAGTTGAAGTCCAAATGATGTAAAGGCCCTCCGATATCAGTCTACAAACAATGTCACAAATAAACCATTAAAATTAATTAATAATATATTGGGCATTTAATAATTACTTGACAATCGAATCTGTAATCACGATTGGACGCACAGAGTTGCGTTTTATCGAGACCTTTAGGAGCCAAGTTCGCATATCTCTTTGTATCTAAATACTTCTCGCATTCAGGTTTTTGAACTTGAAACAAATAAACCGAAGCCATGACTTCTTTCTTGTCAGGTTTATTGAAGCCAGTTTCTTCCCACGTGGGTTCTCTGAGTTGATCGTCGTCGTCGAGGCATGCAGGTTTTACGAACTTCGTTATTCGAACCGTATCATTCAACTCAATCAAACCAATATCATTGTAAATTGCAGGAGCTTTATATTCAGGATGGACGATGGTCCTCAGGACTCCGTACTCCTGAGGTTCAACCTGATCATCATCCCTATTCAAATCCAAATCTCCGAGACGTACAATATTAACGTTACGACTGTAATTTAACGAATACAATTGTCATAACTATCTCAAAATTATATCTATCAGTTACTTTAAACATTGAGCTGCTGTCAAGATGAATGTGTTACTAATCAAACTACCCGCGCACACCCACTCAGTATTCGAACCATTTCGATGTCCCAAAGCCGCCTAAAACAAAAACACTGAAAACTTCTCAACGAAAGAAAATCTATCGATTTCTTACCACGTGCGGATTGTTTTCCGTCAAAATGCTGCGTACCGGTATAATTGACGAGTAATCTCTGTTCCCATATTCGTCAATTTCCATCTTCTTGAAAAACGTTTCGCAATCTACAACCGCAACCAATTATTTCATATTTTTTTTTCAATAAACAATAATGATTTCTCACATTTTCTACTTTTCGTCGGTTTGTACGTTGGATCGCAACACACTCGAGCCACCAATCCATCGTGGCCGCAGGCTGTGTACTTGTCCGGATAGGAACCATCCTTGCAATACCAAATGTTCTCGCAATACTTGTCCGGACTATCGCAGCTTGCATCTGCACGATGCAACAAAACCGTTTACAATGAATTAAGCGTATTGACGAGATGCACTTACTTACCTTTGCTTGTAGTATCCGCGTATCCTCGCGACGTAATCGCAAGCAAAAATGCGATGGCATAACGCGAACGAAACATGTTACAGCTTCGAAGCGCCGATAGTTTCTGACCGCCGATTCCAGTTAATTTACAAATTTATATGAAACAGTCTGTGAGACTTCCCAAAGTACACACGTAATGGTGTTATAAAAAAGAGCATCCTTGAATATTACAATTGATCTTTTCATTTCCGTTTTGATACACTGTTTTGAACATGCTTATTGCTCGGAGCAACTCAATTATTGAAGTAATTGCATAGTGTAAGTATGAATCACGTTTACACTTTAAATTTAAAGTTTCGTTAAGGTTCATATGTTAAAGGTATGTGCATACATTAAATATCAATTATGCAAAAACTTATGTTATGACTGTGTCAACAGATGTCGCGCTACGAGTTCCACGTAACGATTACAAAGATGCCTGTGCAATGAAGTCTTCAAAAAATTTTAATTGTTTATCGCTTCGTGGCTTTATGAGCTATGATCAAAGTGTAGTATCTGTTCTGATCAGTATAAAAATTGATCGGCCCACATTGTGGGTTCATATTTTTATTCTGATTTTTGGAATTCGGTGAGGAATTAGAGCTTGCTCTGTCCTTATCAATGGTTGTCCCAGTATTGCAGTGTCTCTGGGTATGGCCTATTTAATTTAACTTAAATATAATTGTTTATAAGAATTTGTTATATGTTTAAGCATTTTATTGCATTGCAGTATCTTTTTTGTAATTAAGATATATGCGCTATTATAAACCCTTCATTTATATTATAGTATAAATTTTATACGAATAAAACGTCTTTACCGGTGGTACTTCATTTGCAAGGTTTATTTCAAGTATACTTATACAGTTCAGAACATCTCAAAAACAAAAATCTTTGGACAGAAAGACCTATGGTCAATAGCCCTTTGTAACAGTTAATTTTTTATTTTATTATTATTGTTGTTGTGAATGAAAATGTTTAATCTATTGCAGCGTTTCCCAAACTACGAGTCGCGCTTTAATTATTGGTGGGTGACATCAAGATTTTGAATGTATATTTTTAAGATTACTTTAAAACTCATTAGACATGGCGAAAGTAAAAAATATATAACATTTAATGCGCTGGGGATGAAGTGAGTCGCAATATAATAGGTTTCTAAGAGTGTTTAAAAGTTTGTGAATCCTTGGTTTATCGAATAACACAATGTTTTGAATAGCACGCAACCAATTAACCGTATTATTAAAAGGCTCACTGTACTACAATATTATAAGTATAGTTTACTATTATCTTATTGAATTTTGTGTGACAAGTATAAAACTTACATAATAATTGATAAATTACATGTACTTTTTTATTAGTAGTTTTTGGTCACCTTTATAATTTACAGGTTATATTTTATCATGTTTAATCAATGCTTTTGCAATCTAAATCAGCGTTTCTAAACGATCCAAAAATATCTTGTACAGTGTATTTCACAAGTTTATCACTTTGACAAAAGGTGACAGCTGTCATTTTGCGACCCATTGTCGTGTCCCAGGGATGGAATTCTGGACACAGTGGAATATTGTCTGGTGTTATCGTTGTAGAGTCTCAGTTGTAGGAATTAAATAATTCAATTTGTTTCAAACAAGTTTATTATAATAATTGGTACTCTTGGGGTCCTTTCCAAGACAATGTAGATACTTTAAAAGATTGACTAAGACTAATTTCAAATACTCATTGTACTTACAAAGTTAATTCTTATTAATACGGACGGGGTGTGAGTTTTAAAAGTAAGGCACGGTTTTTAAGAAGACGCTCCGCTTCAGGTCACTGTTCTCCGTGTGATCTATCAATTCTGCAGTTTGGTTTCTAGTTAAAAACACGAAGAAACGCCGCAAACGGTCACTGTCCTCCGTGGTATTTGTCCATTCTGCATCTTGGTATCTAGTTGAAAATACGAAGAACGCTGCAAATGGTCACTGTCTTCCGTGAGATTTGCCTACTCTGCATATTGATTCTGTTAATGACCTATAATAGTCCTCAGTGGTACCCAAACTTTAGTGGTTGGACACAACACCATTAACAATGGAATATGACCAATAGGTTGAGAAACGCTGATTTAAATCATCTTCCAACAAATTGTTGTTGTATTTAAAGTACTGTCAACATTGATGTTTAAAATTTGATCTGTCAAAAGTTTGACATATAAATTGTAGAAACCATTTTTGTAAACATAAATATGGTTTTGTGTCCAACATTTAATTATTGGTTTTATATTTCATACAATTTGTTAATTATCTACATCAGCGATCGGGGAACCGGGGTAAATTACCCAAAATGGGATAAAAATTTCATCTTACCAAACTCAGAGAACGGTTCTCTGACTACTTTTCAGATCTTGATGTACAAACTGTGAATTGGGTTGTAGATCCTTTTAAATGTGAAATTACTAACATACCAGAAGAACCTCCAGGTTTGGCAGAGGCAATTCTTGAACTTCGATCCAATACTGAAGCACGTATTCAATTTGAGACCAGAGCAAATCTGTCGTCTTTTTGGTTGTCAAAGGCTGCAAAGGCTTTCAAAATTGCACATGAGGAGGCGGTAAAAAAATTGCTGCCATTTGCAACAACCTACCTTTGTGCGAACAAAGCTTTTCCACTCTAATACAAAATTTCAATAACGAGACACAAACGAAAAACAGAAATCGTTAAACGCCGAAGACTGTATTCAAATTGCTCTTACATCAAAAAGTCCCAATTTTTAAGTAATTATATCAAACATGAAGCAACATCATTTTTCCAAAACCTGAAGGGGGAAAGTTTTCAATTAATTTTTGTTTGTTCCAATTTAAGAATTTTATTTTGTTTGTCTATTACTATTTGTTACTATTTTCATGTAACTCTTTTTTTTATAAATATGTAAATGTAAATTAATTCAATAAATAATGTTTATTTAAAATTTACATTGATTGTTTTCTATTCAGAATGGGGGGGTAATATCGACTTACGCAATAATATTTTGGGGTAATGGTTAAAAAAGTTCCCCGACCGCTGATCTACATGGATGTATTTAAATAAATATGGACCTAATGATTATTATTTATCAATCAATCTTCAATTTATAATGTTTAAGTTTATATACTGAACTACATATTGGTGCTGTTGACAATGTCAATTTGACAAGTTATAAACTAATCTTACCTATCAATAATCAATCTTACAATAGTCAATTAATTATTTAACAATTAATTAAAATTTAATTAACTTTCAGATGAATATTTGCATTTAATAAGCACGAATACCATTATCATTATTATCATTAGTATTATACAGCAGCGGTCCCCAACCTTTTTGACCTCACGGACCACTAAACTCCAAATATTAAATATCGCGGACCACTAAACTCAAAATTTTTAATCCTGCGGACCACTACAAGGACTTTTTTTAAAATAAGATTCTAAATATGAAATAGTATTTACATTGGGCCTTTTATAAAAACGTAAATAACCTCTCGACCATGGAAAGTCCATTTGATCCGCGGACCGGGAAGACCACTGTTCTACAGCACTCAGAAATACTCATCCTTGCGGCAATGCTTTAAGTTTATGCGAATAATAATAAATGTGTTATTGCAGATATACATATAAAATATATTCGTATCAAGTTTAATTAATTCATGAGAAATGCGGTTTCTTTATATGCAAATATTATGAAAATGTCTATTTGTGAACAAAAGAAAAGTAAAAGAATAATGGTAAGGTCCTAATGGCTTCGGAGAGTTGAAAAACTGGTTCCGAGGTGCACTCTTGTTTTGCACATCTTCAATCTCGGTGATGACTCTGTGCAAGATGTTGGGATTTCTTATGCTGCTCATCGCGGCGAGTAAATCGCAAATCCACTTCAACGGTAAATATAATTAATTCAACGATAAATTGAATTTATAACCAATTTAATTATTGCAAACAAAGAGGAGAAAGCACCTTGCGACATCACTTACAGCGATCTCCACTGCATCCACATCAATAAATGTCCAGAAGCGCTTTCTGGGATCCGAAGAGGAATATTCCCGAAACCATGCGGATTTGAAGGGAAGATGCCCTTGGTTTGCTGCAACGAATTAACCAAACCGGGCAAAAGAAGTATCAGGCGTAAGTAAAAAAAAAAACTTGTGTGTTGAATGAATGAATAATTGCTAAAATCGATGTTTCAGAATGCGATCATACCTATGAGAAGGTGAAAATTGATGGTGAAGGTACGATCAAGTATACGGCTTTGGTCCTTCCGAAGCAAACTCTATCGGAGCAGTATCCGCACATGGTACGTTCTCAATGACAATTGCTTGTAGATATTCCGTCGTATATTATTAGAATTAATGTGAAATAATAAATGAAGTATTAATCCTCTGAGTAGTTTCGTTATGGTAATGAAATTACGACAGAT